CAAACATGGAGGCCATCCCTTAGTGGTGTGGTCCAACTGTTTGGACAGATATGCAACGGGCTGCATTTCTGGTCCCAACAATTGGATTAGTACTCCAAGGCCAACACCCTGTCTCTCATGTACATAAAGTTTGAATGGCTTCCTAAGATCTGGAAGCCCTAATGCTGGTGCTGAAATCAACTTTACTTTTATTTCTTCAAAGGCCTTTTGACATTCTGAGGTCCAAGACAAAGGTTCAGAGTCCAGGCCTTTGAGAGCATCATACAAGGGTTTTGCTATTAATCCAAAGTTAGGAATCCAAATCCTGCAAAACCCAGCCATACCCAAAAATCCACGCAACTGTCGCCGGTTGCTGGTGACTTTAAGGGCTGAAATTACTTGTTTCCTTTCTGTCATCAAGCTCCGTCTGCCTTTCCTAATTTCAAACCCCAAATACGTCACCGTTTGTTTACAGATCTGTGCCTTTTGGGGTGACACCTTATAGCCACATTCTGCCAGGTGGTTCAGTACCACTATGGTATTTTCCAGACAAGATTTGTAGTCTGGACTTGCAATCAATAAATCATCTACGTATTGCAACAAGACGCCCTGGTTTAATTGAACCTTCCTGAGATCCCTGGCCAGTATTTCCCCCAAAATAGTTGGGGAGTTCTTAAACCCCTGTGGAAGCACAGTCCAGCAATACTGGAGAGTGCTCTTGGACTTAGGGTCTTGCCATTCGAAGGCAAAAAGCGGTTGATCCTGGACATCTATTGGGATACAGAAAAAGGCATCCTTCAGGTCTAATACCGAAAACCACCCGAAGTCACCAGGTATGGCAGTTAATAAGGTGTAGGGATTAGGCACGGTGGGATGTAAATCCCGAACAATGTCATTAATGGCCCTTAAATCTTGGACAAAACGGTACTCGCCTGTATGGGGTTTCTTCACTGGCAGAATCGGAGTGTTATACGGTGAGCGACAGGGCCGAATGAGTCCAGATTGAAGGAACCTTTTCAATACTGGCTCAATTCCCCTCAAGGCCTCCTCCTTTAAGGGGTATTGCTTCCTCCTCGGGGTTCTGCTCCCCTCTATCACTTCTATTTTTACAGGCTCCGCATTTTTCGCACGTCCTGGGGTTCCATCAGCCCATACCCATTTACTTACTCTTTCAACAATTTCTGGAGGTAAAATTTCACCTTTCGGTGGAACATCTTGAGTAAGTACCATCTGGAACCGCAGAGCATGCTCTGGAGGCACCTGTAGGTGAAGCCTCTGATGTTTTGGTGAGAATATAATTTGTGCGTTGAGCTTACTTAAAAGATCGCGACCAAGTAGAGGGATTGGACACTCTTCCATGTATAGGAAGCTGTGCTGGAGCTGTGTGGTGCCTAGCCGGCACTCCAAAGGTTGCAGGAAGGCTTTCTGTTGTGGCCTTCCTGTAATCCCAGAGACTGCTGCAGTCTCTTTGCTCATTTTAGTTAATTTTGAATTCAAAACTGAGTATGTCGCTCCAGTGTCCACCAAGAAATCAATGAGACGATCCCCCACAGCGAGTGTTACCCTGGGCTCTGAGGGGGTTATTCTAATGGGCTTCTCTAGATCTAGTGGAGCCCCCGGGCACCCCTATTCTGCATCTGAACTTTCTCCATGAACTATCATTTGTCTCCTTTCTTCTGCACTTGGCTCTAGATTCCTTCTACTCTGTCTGTATTCCCTCCTATCTTCACCTGAGGCTCTACCCTGTGCTGTCATTTGTCTCCTTTCCTCTGTGCTGGGCTCTCGATTCCTTCTCTGTCTGTATTCCCTGTCATCATCTGAGCCTCTACTCTGTGCTAACATTTGTCTTCTTTCCTCTCTCCTTGGTTCCTGGTTCTGTGTACTCCTTCTATATTCCCTCCTGTAACCCCTACGTGAATCATCATATCTTGGTGTTCTCTGTCTTCTATCCTGCCTTCTATAATTATTGCGTCTGCCACTTCCCTGTAACCTGGGACAACTGTACTTCCAATGTCCCTCTTCCCTACAGAAAGCACACTGATTTCTTCCTAGGGGTTCGCGTCTCTGTCCATTATTGTTTCCCTGAAACCCTGTTCTGTGTTCTCTTTGTAAGAAAACAGTCGCAGGTTTCGGTCTCCTGTCCTCTCTATTATTATAAACCCTAAATGCCAGGTCCACTACCTGGGACGGACTCATCTCTGTGACGCCGTCCACCTTAGCTAACTTTTTCTTTATGTCTGGGGCACTATGGGTAATGAAAGCCATAGTGATCAGACGAGCATTTTCTGGGGCATCTGGGTTTATATCCGTGTGGTTAGTGTAAATTTGAATAATCCTCTCAAGGAACTCTGATGGATCCTCATTAGCTCCTTGCTCGAGTTGCAATATTTTGTTCATCTTTTTTTTTTTTTTTTTTTTTTAATTTTTTTTTTTTATAGAGGCATGTTTTTATTTATTTATTTGTTTGTTTGTTCGTTCGTTTTGTTTATACATGCACTGGGTACAGTCAGAAGCGCGGGAGGGTGAGAGAATTCACCAGAGCCAGAGCAGGGAGCAGAGCAGAGCAGGCAGAAGGACTGAAGTACACTGCTGAGGGGAGCAGCGGGCGGCAGGAGAGGTCTGTGCGCCATGTGGGACCCTCCTCCGGTGGCCGGGGAGCAGCCGGGGATCGAACCGGCGCCGCAGAGGTCGCCGGCAGCTTTGCAACCCAGCGCTCAACCGCTGCGCCACCGGGGAGGCCCGCAATATTTTGTTAAAGTTTTTTTGTTTGGGGATCCCCTGTTTCAGTCCTACCAATAAACATTTTTTGTACAGCTCCAACATTGCCGTTCCTCCATTGTTAGGGTCCCATCCAGGATCTCTCTCTGGGACAACAACCTCTGGCTCTGGGGACTGCCTATCCTGTTGGTGGAGACGGTCAGCCTCCTCCCTGGCTTTCCTGAATACCATCCTCTGCTCATCCAGCGTTAATAAAGTGTGCAGCATGGACTGTATATCTGCCCAGTTAGGGCGGTGGGAGACAAAGATAGAGGCAAACAAGTTCGCCATCCTCTTGGGAGCCTGCCGGTACGAGGGAACAGAGCCCCTCCAATTTAGGAGGTCCGCAGTACTGAACGGATGGTGCGACCAAAAGTACCCAGCAGGTCTCCCATGTTCATTTAAGCCACCCATTGGCATCTGGAGAAGGGGAAACTGCCCTGCCTCAGGTTGATCCTTCCTGCCAAAATGGGTGCCGAGTCTAGTGTGGGGAGGAGACGCCATTTTAGTGTCCTCCCCAGAGGGCAGTGGAGGCTGTGCAGCCTCAGGGGTCTGCACGGGAGGGGCCTTGTCACGTGGAAGAGGATTTTGTCCTGATGTATTTAAAGTATTTAAAATATGATGCTCCTCCTCTTCTAACTCTGCTCGCTGGCTGTCCTCACGGAAAGGGGAAGGTCTATCCTTTCTCTGCACCATTAGCCTAGCCTTCGCCTCCGCCATATCTAATTTATGGAGGGAGGCCTGTATCTGGTCCTGCATACCTTTAAAAGCTGACTCAAAAGTCCGATTTTGTTGTTGCACTTGATACAGCATGCTTTGATAAGCTGACTCAAAAACGTTACGATTTTCATCCCTTATACTCTTAATAGTTAAATCAAAAGCCTGAATTTGTTGTTGCATGGCTATGTTAAGAGCCTGAATGTGTTGTTGCACATTCTCAGTATATGAAGTAGAACTTCTACCTCTCACAGAAACAAGAATGTAGCAAATTGCGCTTACACATATTACCAAAAAACCACCCAGAAGCACAGTCTGTAAAGGGATGGCTTGTAAACCACCCATGTATGTATACAATAGTAAAATCACGTGCCATACACCAGGCTTCATCAAATTATTTATATTAATGAAACTGGTGGTGATATTTAATGGAAGAAGGCTACTCAAATTCAAGGCCGGAAGGAAACTGAAAGAACTCAGGCTAGGGATGAAACTGTATAGGCTCATGGTTGAGGCCATATTTGAGTCAAAACGCACCCACAAGGGCTGTACGCACAGGGAAAAAACAGACTTTTCAGGACTAGAGACAAATATTATACTGCTAGTCCTGCAGAACTAGTGCGCTTATGGTGACCAACGCAAGGAATGTTACTTTGGGCTGCTCAACCGCGGGTGTAACGTGGAAACCACGCTGGGCGCCAAACTGTTGTAGAGCAACCCCGATACAAAACGGGGTGCCTGACTGCGGGTCCTCACCCGCGCGCTTAAAAGGACTTATCAATGCTCTACTGCAGGCACACGCGAAAGGTTAATAAAAGGTTTATTTACAAGGGAAGGGGAAATGAGGAAATGTACAGCTCTGGGAGAAAAGTGGGAGACAAAGTTTTAAATGAGTCCTACCCGATCCGCCGATCAGGAATCCCAAAATGGCGCTCTGAGAGCTGGTCGCCAGCCAGGAGCGGTGAAGCCAGGAGGCGAGCGATCACGAGCCAGAGAGAGAGCCCAAGGCCCACGTATTTGGTTTTTTATATCCAACCTGGCTGCCCAACTCCACCCTCAGGTCCCAGCCACCCTCCCTTGGTGGTGATGGGATTTGTCTTTCCCAGAGTCTTGATGGCTTTAGTCTGGAGTGGGGGTGGGGTCCACAAAGCCTGTATGGGATTAACTCAGGACATCATTTCCCCCTAACAGAACTAAGATAAGAACCGAGAAACACCCTGGAAACACCTTGTTCCCCTCCAGCATCCCTCTTTTAGGATCTAGATGAGCTAAAGAAGTTGAAAGTCCACCTTCTCCAGAGAAGGGTCTGAGGACCATCCTGTCTCTCCCTCCCACCCCACCCTCAGCAAGAGCCCCTCAGAGTTCTGCTCTGTGCTGGGTATGACAGGGCAAGCTGTGTCCTTAAGAGCACACTGGGAGAAGGAGCTGCAAGAGTCTAAGACGTAAGACTAGTTCCCTCTGGCCAGATAGTATTGTTGCCCTGGGCGGGGCTACTGGGTTTAAAGAGCCGGAACCCACCTGGGCTGAACACAGCAGCCTCAGACCTGCTCTCTGCACCTGGCCCTTAGGTGAGTTCAGAACGGTGGAGGGGTGGGGGCTGGCACTGCCTATGCTCCGAGGGTAGGGTGGCCAAGGATACCAGTCTGAGGAAGGGATGGTGGGTGCCCAGGTATTCTCACTAATGGGGCTGTGTTTGGGGATTTTGAGGATTGGAGGTTGCCTGCTCTGAGAGCGCTGTCATTTGGGATGGAGGGGCGGGTGGGGGTTGAGGGCTGGAGGAAACAGAGCCAGACTTTGGCTAAAGAATGTGATAAAGTGAAGTTGAGACTCTAATGATCCAGGAATTCCAGGGTTGTGGAAGAGAGGAGACCTGAAGCCAAAGGAGGGCCAGCTTCAGAGACTATTTAAAATCAACACCCACCGTGTTCAAAAGTAGTGTTAATGTCCTTTCCTTCCACTCCCTTCTGTGTCAAAAGGACCTGGGTAGGGCCTCCCCGGTGGCGCAGTGGTTGAGCGCTGGGTTGCGAAGCTGCCCGCAGCCTCTGCAGCACCAGTACGATCCCTGGCTGTGTTAGGGGGAAAAGGATGTCCCAAAGCAAATTCCATATAGGCTTTGTGGACTCCACCCCCACCCCAGGTCAAAGCCAAAGACACTGGGAACTCCAAATCCCATCACCACCAAAGGGAAGGTGGCTGGGACCTGAGGGTGGGGTTAAGCAGCCAGGTGGATACAAAAGGCAAACACGTGGGCTTTGGGGAATCCCCCATTTTTGGCTCTCCACCAGCTCGCAGCGTCCGGCCAGCTCTGAGAGTGACTTTGGGTTTCCAGGTCGTCGGATCGGGTAGGACGCATTAAAGACTTTATTTCCCTATTTTCTCCCTGAGTTGTACATTTTCCTTATTTCTTTTTCTCTTGTAAATAAACCTTTTATTAACCCTTTTGTGTGTGTCTGTAGTAGAGTATTCATAAGTCCCTTTAAAGCGCGCGGGTGAGGACCCACAGCCAGGAACCCGTTTAATATCGGGGTTGCTCTATAACAGCTGCTCCCCGGCCACCGGAGGAGGGTCCCGCATGGCGCGCAGACCTCTCCTGCCGCCCGCTGCTCCCTTCAGCAGTGTACTTCGGTCCTTCTGCCTGCTCTGCTCCCCGCTCTGGCTCTGGTGAATTCTCTCACCCTCCCGCGCTTCTGACTGTACCCAGTGCTTGTATAAATAAATAAACAAATAAATCTTTAAAAAAAAAAATGCACACCAGAAACTTAAAAAAAAAAAAAGGACCTGGGTAGTTACGTCTTAGTAAGTGCTATGTGCTAACCACTATTCTTAGATTTGACATACAGTAACTCATTTATTGCAATCAATACCGTATGTGGTTGTTAATTATAATTATCCTCCTTTTACAGGACACCAACGCACAGAGAAGTTAGGTAACTGGCTGAGTCATACAGCTGTTAAGTGGCTGAGGGGGGATTGAAATCCAGTCAGTTGAGCTCAGCAGTTAATTACAATAGTTTTCACAAGGAACACTGACCATCCCTATGCCTGCCTGCAGCTAACAATATAGAATGCTGGGAAGGGTCTTATCTCAAGGACACAGTCCCTGCGGGGACTGGTAAATGGGACAAGAATAGATCCTACTCTAAGGAGAAAGAAGCAGTGTCCCACTTGCCAGGTAATTCCCTGGTGGCAATCTGGACTGAGGGTGGAATTTAGGGCTGCTTGGATTTAGAGTCCCTGGCAGGGGTGGGGGTATAGGTCTCTTGCCTGCTGCTGGTGGTAGCACTACCCACCCCCCGCCCACCCCCCTACTTCTGCTTCTGCTGTGTTCTTAATTATTGCTCCTCTCCACTGCACAGCCCTGGGTGTGTCCTCTGTGGAGGCCAAGAATTCAGCAGGAGAGTGCCCCAAGCCCATATATTTGGAAACAATAGCCTAGGGCCCTATGTGTGAGGTCAGGAAGGCAGGCACCAAAGCCTGAGTTACAAGCAGCCCTCTCTTGAGCTTTGAGTTAGGCATCTGATTAGGTTTTAACAAAGCCTTATAAAATGGCACTTAGGCCTCCCTGGTGGCACATGAGGTTAAGTCTCAGCACTATGAAGCTCTCCACAGCCACTGCAGTATGAGTTCAATCCCCAGCCAAGGAGGTGACTCACATTGCGCAGCAGTCCTCTCATATCTCGCCCACTGCTCCCCTCAGCAGTGTATTTCAGTCAGTCCACCTGTTCTGTTCCCCACTCTCTCTCTGGTGGATCCTCTCACCCTCCCCCTGCACCTCTGGTCTACACCCTAGCTCTTGTATGCATAAATAAATAAATCTTTAAAAAAAAAAACACTAAATAAAATGGCACTAACTATGTGCAGGCATATTGGTGTGAGGCCTGAACTAGCACTAAATTCACACAACTCCACAAGACATTACATTAAGTCCTCATGGAATGTTGTCAATAGGTTCTTGGAAACTGCAATTTTAAGCAAAAGATGCATAATGAAAGCAGAAAGGTGGTTGTTTTGTTCAAACTGGGATTTTTTTTTTTTTTCTATCAACTTGAAAGGTGCTATTAGAGGACCAGCTATATACTATCATTTCTAGATAAGGAAAGAAACTAGCAACTTTACCCAGAATGCCCCCTAAGCAAGTACACCCTTGGGATTCCACCAGGCACTATGAGGCCAGGGACAGTAGGTGGGGCTACCTGACCCCAACCTGTCCCCTCTCCTCTGCAGCCCTGACCTGCAGCTGTGACATGGACCGAGTGACCTGGAGCCTTCTTCTGGCACTGGCGGGTGAGTCCTTCCCACTGTCACTCACCTGCCCACCAAGGCAGTGAAGAGCAGCATCTCCCAAAGCAGGCCAGATGTCAAATAAATGCATTTCCATTTAAACTGTCAATTTAAAGGGCCTCCCCTGGTGGCGCACCGGTTGAGCGCTGGGTTGCGAAGCTGCCCGCAGCCTCTGCGGCGCCTGTTCAATCCCCAGCTGCTCCCTGGCCACCGGAGGAGGGTCCCGCATGGCGCGCAGACCTCTCCTGCCGCCCGCTGCTCCCCTCAGCAGTGTACTTCGGTCCTTCTGCCTGCTCTGCTCCCCGCTCTGGCTCTGGTGAATTCTCTCACCCTCCCGCGCTTCTGACTGTACCCAGTGCTTGTATAAATAAATAAATAAATCTTTTAAAAATAATAAATAAATAAATAAAATTTAAAAAAATAAACTGTCAATTTAAAGAAAAATAATAGTACAGGTACTGAGTGGGTATTGCAAAAGATATCCCAAATAATTGAACTCGGGTAAACTGTAATCATTTTTTGGTATAGAGAGAAAGGCATTCCCTATTTCTTCAGAAAGCAAAGCATCAGCCAGGGTCTGTGTAGGAAGCTTTTCAGGAGAAGGTAAAAAGATACCAATACACCATCCCATTTCCAGTGCAAGAAAGAATGGCAGGAATTCTGAGAAATAGCAGGAAAGGACTGTATGGGGAATGGTGGGGAAGTTAAGGAGTGAGAGACAAAATCCCAGGACTGTTTAGCATTGGGGAAGGTAGGAGGAAGGGAACTCATGATCCCCAAGGTGCCCCCCCACAAGGCTGGTCATCCTTGCCTTTCCAGGCTGGGGTTCTGCCTACTTACTCATTTCAAAACTAGTGTCATGAATTAACACTCAGTCCCTCTGCTTCTCCCACCCAGGCCTGCCAGCCTTGGAAGCCAATGACACAGTTGGTGAGTGAGGCCTCAAACTGCCCTATGTTTTTCCTTTAAGACCCGTTTCTGCCTCCTGATTCCGATCCTCATTCACTCCTTCATTCATTCGTGATATTTATTTCCTTTCCCCACAGATAAAGACAGTCCCTTCTACTATGGTAAGAGCCGATATCCCTTGCCCTCCCCACCCTTACCCTTGCTGATCCTGCATCAATTTGTTAGATAAGGTGGCAAGGGGTGATGTAGAGCCCAGAGGAGACAGAGTAGGGCTTGGTGGGGTGGGGAAGGAGGAGGATTGGGGATTAAAGAATTCTCTAGGTCTTTGGAAAGCCTCGTTCTAGCAAGGAGGAAAGGAGCCACTGATATTAGGAAAAATTCTGGTGAAAGGGTTGGAGATGCTGGCTCTCACAACTAATCTCTTTCCTTTCCACCCTCTCACTTGCGTTCCCTTGCACCCAGCTCCTTGAAACTGTACAGTATGGCCTACCTGGTATGCGGGGGGGTTAAGATGCAACCTATCCACACCCAGGTTAAGACCTAACCTGTCTGCAGCCACTGCAACATGAGTTAGATCCCCGGCCAGGGAGCTACCACTTGGTGCAACAGACCTCTCCTGGCTCGCCCGCTGCTCCCCTCAGCAGTGTATTTCAGTCAGTCTGCCTGTTCTGTTCCCCACTCTGTCTCTGGTGAATCCTCTCACCCCCCACACCTCTGGCCTGTACCCCAGTTCTTGTATGCATAAATAAAGAAATCCTTAAAAAAAAGAAAGAGGGCCTCCCTGGTGGCGCAGGTGGTTGAGTGCTGCACTGTGAAGCTGTCTGCAGAGCAGTTTCAATCCCAGCCAGCCAGGGAGAAACCCACATGGCATGGTAGACCCCTCCTGTCTCGCCCGCTGTTCCCCTCAGCAACATATTTTGTCAGTCTGCCTGTTCTGCTCCCCACTCTGTCTCTAGTGAATCCTCTCACTGTCCCGCGCATCTGGCCTCTACCCTGGTTCTTGTATAAATAAATAAATAAATAAATAAATAATCGTTAAATAAAAAAAAAAAAAAAAAGAATGAAAGAAACTGTGCAGTACCCCAAATAGGTTTCCTCTTCACTTCCTGGCTATTCTCTAGTGTCCTGGCACACACTCATAATCTTGAACCTCATCTCAAATGCCACTTTTCAGAAAGGCTTCCTGATCATCTTTTAAACCTCCTTCTTTCTCTACCCTTTTGCTTTACTTTTTCTTCCTAGTGCTTCCCACCAAATATTATATCTATGTACTGGCTTGTTTTTCTCCTCACCTGGAATGTAGGAGCATCCGCACAAGCAGGTGCTTGTAAATCTCTTCTGGATGAGGGCCCTACCTGGTGGTGCAGGGATTAAAGACACAGTGCTATCAAGCTATGGGCAGCCACTGCAGCATAAATTCAATCCTGGCCAGGGAGCTACCCACATGGCGCTGCAGACCTCTCCTGTCTCACCTGCTGCTCCCCTCAGCAGTGTATTTCAGTAGCTCTGCCTGTTCTGCTCCCCACTCTGGTGAATCCTCTCACCTCCCACACCTCTAGCCTACACCCAGTTCTTGTATGCATAAATAAATAAATCTTTAATATGCATTTTTTTTTTTTTTGACGAGTGAGGAGGCAGAAACAAGCTGGCTCCCGGTTCCGATCCTCACTTACTCTCTGTGCTCCCCTAGACTGGGAAAGTCTGCAGCTGGGCGGATTGATCTGTGCAGGACTGATGTGCATTGCTGGAATCCTTTTTGCCCTGAGTGAGCACCAGGATTGGGGCTGGGGGGCAAGGGGTGAAAACCAGAAGGAGGGGGGAGGGAAAGAGCGGGAAGCAGGCAAGCTCCCCAGACTCTTTGCACTGACATTTCTTCCTCTCTCAGGTGGCAAATGCAAATGCATGAACAACCAGAAAAGGTGAGACAGAGTCCCTGTGTATGTACCTTTTAGGGTAGTTGTACAACATGCAGAAAGATGCTTCCTGGGGCCTCCCTAGTGGCGCAGGGGTTAAAGACACAGAGCTATCAAGCTATCACCAGCCACTGCAGCACGAGTTCTAGCCCTGGCCAGGGAGCGAGCTACCCACATGGTGCAGCAGACCTCTCCTGTCTCAGTGTGTTTCAGTAGATCTGCCTGTTCTGCTTCCCTCTCTCTCTGGTGACTCCTCTCACTACCACCACCAACCCCCCCACCCCCCACACCCCTCTGACTTATACCCCAGTTCTTGTATGCATACATCTTTTTTTTTAAATGAAAGTTGTTTATTTATTTTTTTTTTTAAGATTTATTTATTTATGCATACAAGAGCTGGAGTTCAGGCCAGAGATGCGGGGGGTGGGAGGATCCACCAGAGACAGAGTGGGGAAAAGAACAGACAGACTGGCTGAAATACACTGCTGAGGGGAGCAGCGGGCAAGTCAGAGAGGTGTGCTGTGCCATGTGGGTCACCTCCCTGGCTGGGGATCGAACTCGTGCTGCAGTGGCTGCAGTGGCTGCGGATAGCTTCATAGTGCTGCATCTTAACCTCTTGCACTGTCAGGGAGACCCCATGAATAAATAAATATTTAAAAAAAAAAAAAGGAAGTCTGTTCTTTAAAAAAAAAAAAAGTCTGTTCCCCAGACTTGCACTGGAATTTGTTATTTGCTGATAATCAACCCTGAAAAGCCCAAATCAGAGATAGCTTTCACCCTTGGCATTATATGAAAGAATAGCAAGGTAGTATGCCCTCTGGGAAAGGGGCACAGGGATCTTGGTGGCAGAGGACAGAAGGTCTGAGAATGCTAATCTGATCTGTTCCTTTCTCAGCCCTATATCTGAGAAGGCTGTTCCACTCATTTCTCCAGGTAAGTACAGGCTTCTTCCAGAGACTTCCAAGTACTTGGAGAGTTCATAAATATCATGCCCTATGGAAGATGGGACTGTCCTGTCCTCCAGTTGCCTAAGACAGAGGGGGGTGTCCATGAAATGACCTTGTTGTGAGGCCTCCATTCTCTCTGCAGGCTCTGCCAGTACCTGCTGAGCACAGGGACAAGCTTCTTGCCACTCCCAATGCCAACTCTCATACTGTTCCCACTCTGCTTGGGGGCCTAGCCCTCCATGATGGCCTTTCTCTCCAACCTCCAACTGTGGACCATCAGGCTCCCTTCTGATGGGCTGTTCCAATGTTTATTTGTAAATTAAATCGGTCTCACTTCTTCCTGTGGTCTTGTGATCTCTGTGGGCCTGGTGGGGAATGGGTAAGCTGAGCCAGGAGGCTGACATCTTTCTCAGGAAAGCCCAGGCCCCTCAGCACCTAGGGTAGGGGGAGAAGAGGGTCCCATGCACAAATAAATAATCTTTAAAAAAATAAACAAACAACTTTCGGGCCTCCCTGGTGGCACAAGGGGTTAAGCACCGCAATCCACAGCCACTCTGTCTCTCGTGGCTCCTCTCACCCCCCGCAGTCATGTTTCCTGTGGTCACTTGTCTAAGGCCCACTCCCACTTTATGGCATGTCCCCCACTTTGAAAACCCCCAGTACTTGATGTCCTGCCCCTTCCCCTATCTGTGCACTGTGTGAAACATCACGGTGTTAGAGCAAAGGACCTTACAGTTTCTACACCTTTCCTAAAGACCCTAGAAGTCATAATCTTGTAACCTAGAATGATCACCAAGGGCTCACCCTCTAACAGTGCAGCTCACTCAGCATCCTTTTGTTCACATAGCCCAGAAAATGCAGCAATTCCCTTGGTAAAGTCCTACATGATTCTCAGCCCAACCCTTGGGTTCTCCCCATCCCGGGAAATCTCTTATGAAACCCCACTACATTCTAAGAAGTCCTACATAGTACATTTTAGGACCAAAACCAATCCATGCAAATCTAGGTTCCTTGGTATGTCTGAATCCACTCTTAGAACATCTTGTTCATAGGTGAATCCGAGGGCAAGTTAGGGTAATTAGGCAGTTTTAGGGACATTGCAGGAGGGGACCTCTGAAGAGTTTAGGAAGGCTTCAGAGATAAGGACAACTAGAGGAATGTGTTAATGCTGGCCTTGGTTTCCTTCGGGTGATAAAGGATGGTGGAGTTTGGGAAAGGGAGAGTGGTTTAACTAGGGCAGCAGACTCATTTATGCAAGGGGGAGATGAGAAGGGGTCAGCACTAAGACCAGTGGGCGGCAGCCTGTTTTTCTTCAATAGCTGATGTTTAACTTTCTCTGAAATGCAGGGGTGCTCATCGGGAAGACTGGGCCATAAAGATAAAGCTATCAACAAGGGGGAAGATGCAACAAATGGGGAGAGACAAACCTGTTAGATAAGGAATGTAAAGATCCCATAACCCCCTCAGTGGCAGATTAAGTGAGACAGCCGAGAACTAACCAATCAGAGAGAGACTGGTGGAGCTTTAGGATAATGAGGGAAAGAAGGTCTATATTCCCTGGGACACGACTCCACTTGGGCTTCCTTGCCCCTCTCTGGCCTGGTTTCATGGCCTGGGAGTCCCACTTTATTTCTGTTCTTTTTCTCCTCAGTAAACTTTTTCTTTCTATAAACAAACCTGCCTCTTCTCGCTTGCTTGCCTGAGAGTCTGCGAAGTTCCTGCTGTGGCTTCGTGAGACACCAACCTGTGGTGGTTTAGTGGCTGGGGCTCAGCGCTCCTCCTGCAGCCTGGGATCCATTCCTGGCTGGGAGGCTAGGCCTGACAATTCCGGTATCACAGGGAAGGACAACAGAAGTGCCTCTCAGGCCCTCTATAGCCCTGGTCCTCCTACAGCTTCACCCCTCCTGGCAACCACCGAAGCCCAGGGTGGAGTGAGCTGAGCCACACTCAGCCCAATACCTGAGTGGGCAGAGACCATGGGGCAGAGGCAGGTCCAGGCAGCAGAGGTCCACCCTGACCCTGCCAGGCAGTAGCTCACAATGTGGGTCTGACTGACGGAACAGCAACCATCCAGGTGTTGCTTCTCTAATGGTGCACTGTGCCAACCTCTTACTCCACTTGCCAGAATGGTGCCAGAGCCTCTGGAAAGTGTATGCTCTAGACTTAGGGTCCCCTGGAGGGTCAGGAGGCCAGTGCAGGGGAATCTGGAGACTGTGACCCACTTCCTGGCCCTCTGCAGCCCATGCCAGCTCCTGAGGCCTGCTTAGTACCTTGAAGCAGGAAACAAGGGGACGGAAGGGGGAGGGGGGAGCATGGAGGGGTGTTTCCTCAGGCCTGCTGTGAAAACAATATAAGGCGTAGTGAATGGGTTAGATGTGGTCGGGTGAAGAGGTGACCACCGAGTTGAGTCTTCAAAGCTGAATGGTGAGAGGAGCCAGGCTCACCTGCATATTTCCTGGCAGAGGGAAGATAAAAGTGTGCAGATAACCCACGGGCACACTGGCCAGCCTGCTTTTTGAGGAGCAGAGAAAAATCAGGATGACTGGAATGTAAGCTAAGAGGTCAATAGGTGGCAGGTGGGGCCCCCGAAGGGCGAACCGTGCCCCCGGGCTGGGACTCAATCAGCAGCGGGCCCGGAGCCGCCGGCGGGCGGGGCGGGCGCAAGGCCGAGCGCGGGCCGCCGGCTGGGGCGGGGGGGGGGGGGGGGGCAGCCGGAAGTGCCTCCACGCCGCCGGCGGGAAGCGGGTGTCCCACTCTTCTCCTTGCTCAGGAGTGGAATTGCTGCTCATTTCTCTCCTCCTTCCACACAAGTGACGCCGAGTTTGAGAGATGAAAAGCGAGCTCCGTCCAAAAAAGCTGCCAGGGCGGCCATTTGTAGGGCTGGCGTGGCGGACACGGAAGCGACGTTGTCAGGCGCCCCCTGTGGTGACCGGCGGTTGCTGGGAGCAGCTCAGATATTTGAAATTCTATCGGTTTCAAGGACAGCCCATCCTTGCCTGGGGGGATGGGGGGAGATCTAAGTCACCGATCTAGATCACTCTCGAGTTCAACCCGGGGGCCGACCCGGGTTTCTGGAATGACATTCCACATCCACCCTAACGTTTCGGTTCCCAGCCCCACTTGGCGGTGGAGACCTGCTACGCCGCGTCCTGCCCAGCCGTCCTCCGTCAGAAGCCAAACCACCGCATTCAAATTTCACCTGCACATATTCCCACAATTGCCCCAAACCCCATAAGCGCCCACTCTGGGGTGAGGAGCCCCATGGCCCCCACCCCTCCCTGGTGGCCTAGGGGTCAGAACGGCTCAGGACTATCACCCTATGGCCTGAGTTCAATCCCCGGCCATGGAGGGAGCTAACCCACACGTGGCGCAGCAGACCTCTCCTGACTTGCCTCAGCAGTGTATTTCAGTCAGTCTGCCTGTTCTGCTCCCCACTCTGTCTCTGGTGAATCCTTCCACTCCCCCACCCCCCACACCTCCGGCCTATACCCCAGTTCCTCTATTTAAAAAAAAAAAAAAAAAAGACGACACTATGTGGAAGAGTATTTAGTAGGAAATTTGCACACACATATTGTTTGTGGCCTGTCTGCTCTGAGTGAATTTTCCAGCCCAAAGACACATCTGGAGGAGTGCAGGGAGCCAATGCTGTCTAAAGAGCAGCCTCAGCACAGTGAGTGGAACGCACATGAGGCCAAGGGTCCAGGAGGGCGATAAGGAGCTCCAGGGGGCTGGACATCACCAAGTTCCTGGCAGCCGTGAAGGGCTGCTTACTGCTGAACTGTCTTTTGTTCAACTCACTATGAAAAGCCAGCTGGAAATGAAATGTGAACAGTTTCTTTAGGGTGTTAACCCCCTTCTTCCAGATTGCCAGCTGTCTGATTAAAGCGCACCTTAAAGATTCGTTCCTGGGGCCTCCCTGGTGGCGCAGGGGGTTGGGCACAGCACTGTGAAGCTATCCCCAGCCTCTGCAGCACGAGAGTTCGATCCCCGGCCAGCCAGGGAGCTACCCACATAGCACGTCAGACCTCTCTTGTCTCGCCCGCTGCTCCCCTCAGCAGTGTACTTTGGTTGATCTGCCTGTTCTGTTTCCCACTGTCTCTGGTGAATCCTCTCACCCCCTGCATCTCTGGCCTGTACCCCAGTTCTTGTATGCATTAATAAATAAATAAAAAGATTCAATTCCTGGGGCCTCCCTGGTGGCACAAGGAGTTAAGCATCCCCAGCCAGGGAGCTACCCACATTGCACAGCAGACCTCTCCTGGCTCGCCCACTGCTCTCCTCAGCAGTGTATTTCAGTAGATCTGCTTGTTCTGCTCCCCACTCTGTCTCTGGTGAATCCTCTCGCCCCCCACCCCGCTTCCACACAACCTCTGGCCTGTACCCTAGTTCTTGTATGCATAAATAAATCTTTAAAAAAAAAAAAAACTCAATTTCTGTTTCTACTTTATTGGTATTTGGTGGTGACAGGTGACCCAAACTCCAGTCTTCTGGCTACATAATATTCTATAATTTTCTGGCCATCCAGCCAGGTTAATTGATAGTTCATTTCTTTATACTATTGAGTAGTAGTCCCAGAGAGTGCTATTGAACTAAGGGCCTACCAATTTAAGGAAAAGTTTAGATTTATTCTAAGTGACTTCAAAACACTGTATTTCTGTTTTCCAGAAGATTGAGGCAGTATCTTACCCATGATTTTTCTGTAAAATACTGTGACACGCTGGGCAAGTAGTGAAGGATAATGGCTAAGACGAGGGAGCATGACCAGGGCCGTCTCTCTTGATCTATCACCTGTTAGGTCCTGTGCTTGGCTCTGTAGCAGGATTTCTTACTCAAATCTCAAACCAGCCATCAAATCAAGGGATTATTTTTAAGTTAAGTTCAGCTCAACTTTGCTTAAAATGTTCCAAAGATATCCCATTTATCTTACAGAAAATTTCCAAGGCCTCTTTACAACTGCACCACCATGGTCCTCATCACTGTTCACTACTTCATATGTGTACTATTTATATTTTACAGATTGATTGGTTATGGTGTCCCACCCCAGTGAGAATGTAAAATCAAACTCATGCCTGCCAAAATTTTTTGAGTTTGGGCTCACAGATTTTGACTGCCCTTTTATGTTTTCCATTGAATACATATAGGTGATTTTGAACCTCTTGTGATCTCAGGGTTATTTTTTAAAATCTGGTTGCATTCCTTTCACCAACCCCCTCGTGGATTTGACTAGTACATGGATCTTATGCCTACAAACTATGCAACAGTAGCTGGTACTCCATC